GAAAACTTGGCACCACACGATCGCAGCGCCGGAGAGCAAACGGAACAGTGCCAGCTGCTACTTACATGCATCATGCGATGAGAATCCAGGCATTGGATCGACTCAGACTAGAACTTTGCAGTGCGTGTACTTGTCTTAGAGGTTTGGTCTGCATTGGCGTTGGGCTAGCGTTTGAGCGCTCATGGCTCTCTCCCAAGTACGATATTTACGTTACTGCAGCAACTCTGATCCTCACCTGGCCATTTGGCGCGGATGTTTCTCAGAATGGCGCAGCTCGGTCCGTGAGCAGCACCGTCATCTGAGTCGGCCGCTGCATCCCTGCATCATGGCTGCCGTTGCCTGTAGACGGGAAGCGGCAATTTGCAGGACGGGGATCGAATGGATTATCAATGGATGCATCAGCTGATTAAGCGATGATCTCCCCCATCTGTACTTGCTCATGCATCGCCCAGTCAATTCAGTGACAGGCGATCTGGCATGTGTCGCGGGAGCCGATGCCCACGTGCCCCATGCCGCATGGCTTTCATCGGAGATCTTCGTATGGGGTCGACGGATCGAAGCAGACCCATACTCCGGAAGTTGGGACCTACGCTTCTTCGCTCACTCTTCCTTTCTGCTTCTACGATCAGTCTAGGCTTTCGGCATGACAGAAATCTAAAGTTCATTGATTGTTCGGGGATTTGGCGCCGTCATGTTTCAGTGAGTCGCCTACGGACGATCTCTGAAACCACCCCGACAAGCATGTGGCTCGGATATCGCCAGCATAAGATAGCTTAAGGCTCCCGAGCCCTGAAGATCCCTGAATTAAGAACAGTATCTCCTTGTGTTGTATATTCCAGGGGCTCTGCATGCGACTTCTAGGACCTGGGTCAAGACAACTACTTGCTTCAAGCACTGGAGTACACTCCTGTTGGGCGAGAGAAGTTTGGGATATGCGTTGATGCATGTGTGCGCCCCGGGGCAACCTTCAGAAATTCTCTGACCTGAGCCTTCCTTGCCAGCCCCTAAATCCGACAGAGACCCGCATTCGCGGATCTTCCCCTGTCCAGGCGAGCTGAGAACCTGCGGGATCCGAGATGGGCTTCTTCAAGGGAGTGCTCGAAGCTTGTCAAAGAAAGCAGTAGATTTTAATAGCAACTCAAATGTCAAGCTTATTCCGTTTACCGTAAGCATGCGTATGCGTGACGTCAGGAAAGTCCTTGTCCAGCTCCGTCGCAAGAAGCGCTGGTCGGATGCATTGCATCTCCTCCACCAAGCGCAGAAACACACAGCTGAGCTGGACACAGTTTGCTACAATGTAGTATTATCAATTTTTCGGGACATTCGATGGTGGGAACAAGCCCTTGTCACTTTTGAGCAGATGCAGCGGAGCGGACCCTTGCCCAGTGTGGTCTCTTACAGTACAGTTGTCAGTGCGTGTGAAGCCTCGACTTGCTGGCAAATGGCCATCGATTTTTTTCAAAGTGCCTGCGAGAGTGGGCATGCCACGGACACCATACTGCTTTGTGCGGCAACCAGCGCCTGTGCTCGAGCACTGCAGTGGAAGCTTGCGCTGCACCTGGCCGGAAGGACTGTTGCTGCATCAAAGCGGGACTTCGGCATTGATCCGAAAGCTGTAGCGGCACTCAATGCAGCCATGACTGCCTTTGGTGTACTTTGGGAGAAGGCCTTGCAGCTCCTGGGCAGAATTCGATGCTCGGGGATGCAGCCTGACATCATATCCTACGGTGCCGCGATGCAGAGTTGCGATCGTGCTTCGCAGTGGATGAAGGTGGAAGGGTGCAGCGTTGGGATGTCATTGCGTAGCAGCTCCTGCCTGACAGGCCGACGCATTGCTTGCGACAGCCGCCAAGTCTGTTCGGCCAAGTGCCCGAAGCTAAGTTTAGAGGAGGGGCATCGGAAAGTTGTGACAGTTGCGGTCTTGCTGAGGTTGTTGCTTTTGGGGCAGCTGCGAGCTCCCGTGCAAAGGGGCAAGTTTGGCACCAGGCAGTGGAATTGCTGGCCAGGCGGCTTGACAACATTCCTTCTGTATATAAGGTATGGTCCGCCTGGGGAGAGGAGCTGGCTTTAATGAGTTGGTTGTCCCTGCGGATCAAGACCTGGATTTGAGGATAGTACTTGGTTCGACGTCGCCGTGCACGGTTGACTTTGTCTAAGCTTCATCGTTTAAGGGCGTTCCCAACCTTTCGATGAACCTGCTTGACTTGAGGCTGCCACCACTAATCCAGAGTCCGGGAGCAATTGTCATCCCATGTTGTCGGTATGCCGTAAGCCTTTCACCGATTGCTCGGCAACTCCAGAACCTTGAGTCGACTCTGTGGCCAGCCATGCAACGGAATCAACCGAAAGCGCTCAGCAGCAATTCCCACAGCCAACGCCAGAAGTTAGACTGAGAATCCAAGCAGCCTCAAGCTGCCATGCTATCCTTATATAGATATATTAGACTGATCCTGCTGATGAGCCCGTCGCAATGAGAGAGAAGCTTTTGAAGGTCACAGTATTCTGGTCTCGGAGAGGAGATGCCGCTTTGCGGAGCCGCACCTCGGCAGCGTTGAAGCTTGAAGGCAAAAGCATATCACGGATAAAGCCTAATGAAAGCCTGGCTCGCACAATGTTTCGATTGTCGCGTGTCAGTATCATAACAATTCCAACACCAATGCTTCAGTGCTTGTCAGCTGTTCAAGAAGCTTCGCTGCGAAGGTCTTGTCCTCCTGCGAGAAAGCTGCAGCATGGAGCAGGGCTTTGAATCTCCTGTATGCGAGAGCCGATGGCCCCCTTCGTCCGAACGTCCTGATGTTCAGTGCCGTTATCTCGGCTTGTGAAAAGGCAGGACCATCGTGTCGTGGGAGCTCCGAACAAAGACTTAGTGGGAGAACACACGGTAAAAAGTTCCGTGCTGTACGAGTGGGATGCTGGTACAAGGGAGATCCCTGTGTAGGAACATCGCCTTTCCTATCGGGGTTTCGACTCATATTTAATCGTCCATGTCCCTTCCGCGCGAACTTGAAAGCTTGCTTGCGGTGCCAAGTTGTCCACAATCGTAGCGGCACATGGATGCACATGGCTGCAACAGCTTCGGTTTCAGAGATGGCCCAGAACAGTTCGTGCCTTTGAAAAGCTCTGGTTGCTTTGTATCAGGCGAGAGCCCATGTTCTCCAGCCTATTCGCGCCGAAATGGCAGAGCACGACCACATGAGCCAAACCAGTAATGACAACAGCAGGGCAGCTCATGCACCGTTTGGGCGAAGAAAAATTCGCACAGGTCCCCGCAAACGAGCTTTGCATGCAATTGAGGTCGAGCGAACATGCTCAAACGTTTTCTCAGCCCACTAATTTGTTGAAGCGAGTCTTCTTCACCTTGAGTATTCGTAAGAGACTTGTGTTCTTGTCAGTCTGTGCTGGCAGCAAGTACTGAGTACTGGCAGGCCCGTCGGTGGCAGATGGCTTTGTGGCTTTTGTCGAGCATGTGGGCAGTCGGACCTCGTCCGGACATCGTGGCCGTAAACGCGTGCCTTGCAGCCTGCGAGAAGTCTGGGAGATGGGAGCAGGCCTTCGAAGTCTGCGAAGAAGCCAGAGCGAACCTTCTGCTCTTGAATACGATCAGCTACAACTCGCTCCTGAGCGCATTGGCCGTCGGGCAAAGTTGGCACACTGCGCGGGAGCTCCATCTTCTTGAAGATATGAAGTCTGCTGCTGTAATCCCTGACATCATCACATACAATTCACTCATGGCGGGGTGTACCCGCCGCAAAGACTGGGAACGCATGCTGACCTATTTCTTGGAGATGCGGAAATCTGCGATGGAGCCCGATCCGTTTAGCTATGGCGCAGCACTTGCTGTTTGTGATCAGGCAGAAAACTGGCAGCTGGCGCTGGTCCTACTGGCATGGATGCAGGTGGACGAGGTTCACAGCAACACGTGCATTTACAACTCAGCACTGGGTGCCTGCGACACTATGCTGCTTAGAAACGGACTGTTCATAGGATTCTTAATAGAAACAGGCTTCAATTTGATCGCCAGCTAAGGCGAAGGCGGGCAAGTGGCAACTGTCCCTGCAGCTTCTGTCTGAGTTGATGTACATGGGAGCAGAAGTGTGCCCGGACCAAGTGTCCTTCAATTGCGTTTTGAGGGCGTGCAGCTCTCGACACATGTGGGAAGCATCGCTGTCGGTTGCCACGAAGATGCAAGAGCTCGCGGAGCCAGATCCGAAGTCCTTCAACGCTGTGTGTGAAGCTGCAGAGATGGCATTGAAGGCCGGATTGGATGAAAAGGTATGTCCCAGTCGGAGTCAGCACAACAGCCGGTAGCCTCTTGTGGGATGGTACGGTCGTCTTGGGCACACTTGCGACATGTTGCGACTTTCTCGCAGCAGATCCTCGCAGCTCAGGTGATGCGCGTGCCGGAGTTTCTTGCAGCGTGCAGCACAGAGGCCGTTCAGCTACTAATGTGAGCCGCAGAGCACAGCTCACAGCGCCATGACGGCCGCGTGGTGAGGGACGAGGACGTGGTGCGCTGGCGGCAGCAATTGGTACAATTGCGGTCCGTCGGCTGTGTCGTATTCACTGTAACGATACCGCTTCTGGAGGGAAGGACTGGTCGGTCCACCAGCACGGCCATTTGGTCAATTATGGGTCTCGGTGGCTTTCATTGGCTTCGAGGTCTAATTGCTAGAGACACGCAAAAAACTTTTTGCCCACACAGACATAGCCGCGATGGACTAGCGAGCAAGTGGCATACAACGTCCCTGCAGTGCCATGCAGATCATGCAGCCTGTCAATGAATTTCCAGCAGTTCTGCGTGCGCCAGAAAGCCTAGCTGGTCTAGCTTCAAGCAACAAGAGCATGTCTGCACAAGACACAAAGGTCTAGACGCAAAGCGCAGTGTCCTGAGTCTGGCAAGAGATGGCAAGAGCGCCAAGTCGGCAGACAGGCATTGCCAAACATGGGATTGTATAGTGTTAGCATGGGCATGCCCATGGCAACTTGATGGTGATCACGTGATGGCGAAGGCCGTGAATGAGGTAGGACAGCAGCATATACGGTGAGCATGCATGATGACATTTTTCCATGTGGCTCGGGGGTCAAAGTCTGCCGCTGCGTTTTGCATATTCTGGGAGTATTTTTATTGGAATATGTATGTGTGTGTGCTCGAGCGGTCAGTACTAGCAATAGAGAATACGTAACTTCTACTCGTGCAATGTAATGATAACAATACTTGGACTATTAATGACTTTCTTCTTAGTAATGCCTACATTGTTTGGATAGCTATGGTTAATGGTGTCGACCACAAAATATATGATCACCTGAAGTCAAAGATCCTAAAATATATCAGTTATAAACTTACCAATAGCATTTAACCAGATTATTACTAACATTGAATACTGAAATATGGCAATGGTTCAGGTTGGACTCTGTATCCACCCTTATAGTGCTTCACGAATGTCATTCGCAACTTAGGGTCTTAGTCTTAATACCTATAGTTTGCTTATATCAGGTCTATCATCAACATTAACATCTTTTTTAACTTCTGTATTGCTTGTCACGCTATGAAATCATTGGGTTGATGTGTAGCTACATAATCAACACATATTATAATTTCTAGATCAACTGGGGTTGCATTTCTCTGAATAGTAGTTGTGCTAGCATTGCCAGGTGCTTTACTAGTTAATGTTAGCAGCAAGTACACACCATAACACAATCTTCTTTGATCCATACTTTAGAGGTGATCCCATGTTCCATAAACCTTCGTTTCGGTTCTTTGGACATCCCGAAGTCTATATATATATATATATATATATATATTAATCCTTGCAGCATTTGGCGTTCAATAGTTTAGCAACAACTGGCTTATTAAGCGTATGATCTTAGCTATGAGTTGTATTCGTCTATTAGGATAGTTTAGTTTGAGCACATCATATGTTTACAGTTAGTATGGAACAGTGATGCCAAAGCTAACTTTACAGCTCAATACATTGATTATATCAGTCTCAAGTGGTTGGTGTAGATCTTTACTTGGTGTTCTACATTTCTGAATACTTAATGCATGCCTAATGATACTATTTCACCACTAATGTTACCTATTATAAAATATCTTTCATATAGTCTGTTTGGAATAGGTGGTTCAACTGGCATTTTTAAGTGGTAAATAATGCTGTTGATCGAGGTTCATATGACTATTTTTTTGTTGTTGCACACTTGCACTATGCCTTTTCATTAAGTACAATCATTGCTACTCTATTCGGTCTTGTATGTATTTTCAGATGAAGTATGAAAGTGATTTACTTGCACTAGCTTCACAGCTTTTCGTATTGGTAGGAATGGTTTAGGTAAGCTATGTGTAGTAGTCAATACAAGTTATCTCACTTATTCATGGTAGTATTTTCTTGTGGTGTTATGTTAGCGTTTGCACCGTTACATGTGGTTTCCAATTTTAAGATCCTGGAAGAGTACAGGACTTTGGAGATCAATTAGTTAATCTAGTGGTTGGAATAATTCTAGCTCAGTCGGTTAGAGGTTGCATGTTAAATTTCATTTGCACGTTACTATCATTCTTTGTCACTGCAGTCCTTTCCAACCCACCAAGAGAGTTTAAATGGTGTTGGGGAGGCCCGCGGAAGCTTGTCATGAATCGCGGCTGTTATACATGTATGCGTCACCGGAAGCTTGGACTAGGCTTGAATACAGAACGGAACGCCGCGAATGATAAACAGCATACGGCGTGAGTGAGATCAGAGATGCATGCGAGAGGTCTGTGATGCAGAACACGAATGACATCGGCTTCTTTTGGAACGCGCAGCGATTCATTGAGCTGTCATTAGCTAATGTGCCTCTCAAAGGGTCGATCACAATTGATACGATCGTCATCAGAAACAACACAAACCAAAATAAAAAAATGCACAAAACAAACAACACCAAAAACACAACGCAACCACTTTTGTTGTTTTTTGTTTTACTGTTTAATTTGGTTTTGTTGAGGAAAAGGGGTTCTTGTGTGTTTTAGGGTTCTTAATTACGGCAACGACCCTAAGCGTAAGAGTTGCTAGCGGTCCTGAACTGCCGGAAACGCAGCGGGAGAGTTCGACCCCCGAGCCCATGTTTCCATTGCAGCTGGCCTGGCAAACCTCCCTCCCCTCTCCCTCCCTCCATTCTTTCCCCTCGCTGCCTCCCAAGCGATCAAGTACAGGTAACTAGCCAGCCATGCTTCGAGCGATTTTGAGAACTGCGCCTTGAAGTTGTCGTTTTTTGCCTTCGCATGACCTGTCCAGGATGCCCCATTCAAGTTGCAAGCTCAGCACCGCAGCGCCGTGGCACTCTACATCCAGTTGCACTCTCGACATCCAAATGCAGTGTGGTCCAGTTCTGGAGGTCCACACCATTGCCCTTGCGATCCCGAGCAGAGGATGCTGTGGATCGCCCAGCTCAGGCATGCAAGCAGCAACCTGCAGTGCAACAAAAGATGTTGCTTCTTGGTTTTGGTTGGCAAGATACGTCCGCGGAGCCCGCGGACGCCTGGCACGTGCGAAGCTGAGCTAAGCCAGCGCATGTCCCGAACATTCCCAAGCTACATCACAGCGGCTGTCGCTCCCAAGACTTTAGCAAAGCCGAAGACTGATCGGGTTCCGTGCTCCTGGTATGCTGGTGGTGGTGTTTCGCGTAGGTCTCGGGGTCGCAGCTGTTGGGTCCAAGAACTTCGCATGTTGCAAGAGCTGGCAGCGAGCCGGAGGCCTCGCCCCAGCGAATCGGGACGTGCCAGCGACAGGACCTAGCGCGAGAGAATGAGAGAGAATGAGAGAAGAGGGAAAAGGGAAGGAGGGAGGGGCGCTCGGCGCTCACAAACTCTGCCAGTCCGCGGCGGCCCAGTCCTCGGCCGAGGAGCCGGCTCGAGGCGGCCCAGAACAACTGCGCTTAGCGGCGTTGCATGCGTGTAGCGTTACAAGCGGCGTTGCTGTGGCTTTCTTTCTGTGGAGGCCCGAAAAGGACAGGACTCCGAGCTCTCTGAGTGTATCGATGCTTTGTACAGGCGCATCCCGAGAACTTAGAGACTTAGAGTAGTCTTTCCAGTTGGCCAGACCGCCCTGTGCTTGCAGGCACCGCAAGGAGACCCTCCGCTTCTTGAGGCGGTGAGCGCCCCAGTGCTTCAGAGCTTGAGATGGCTGTGAAGCAAGTGCTGAAGACAGCGAGATCCGTCAGTTGTTGCAGTTGCATGTCATCCCCACGACCAGGTTATGTAGAACCAATCAGAAAGTGAGTGAGCTTCCACCTGGGTTGGCACATGTTGATGCGTAGCCGAGGTGCGAGGACTCCCGTGATCTAAAGTTGCTGCGTGCAGCGCTCGACCCGCAGCCGCCGGGAGCTCGGCATGTGCACAACGGCCTCCAGGAGCCAGTACAGAGAGACACCAATCACCAATTTGCTGGAGCTCCGAGGTTTCGCCAGGAGGGCACTTCCCGGAGCCGCGCTCCGGCACCCCGCATGTGTGGGACGTCAACGCGGGAATTACTTGGATATCGACATTTTTCTGTACATATCGCCTGCAGAACTAGCTCGCCCGTTACTCAAAGTGTTGCCAAGTAGAGCGTAGGCGTGGCAGAAATTAGTATAAATGCTGTAGTGTGTGGGGCAGGTACGTGCGGTTCATGCGACACAGAAGCTGGTGCGAGAGTGTGAGGCACAATCTCGGACCTGGCTTGTCGGCTTTTGACAGCTCTTGTTACAACGAGCGAGCCAGTGCCGCGCATTCGCGGGCCGTTTGAGATGGAGCGTGATAGGCTTTTTTTGTTGAAAGTTGCTGGAGGCTTTACAACCAGAGTATGGTGAGTATGTTTTTCGCTGGATAGCACAGTAGACTTCCTGTTTGCTGCCGCAGGCAACTCCGCTTTCAGCACCAGACTATGTTTGGTCACCCGAAACTTTGGGTTCCGTGGCTGCCAGAGGCGGCTGCCAGTTATGCTTCTGTCGAAAGAAAAACAAGCCATGCTTGTGCCACTGCAGGTTGGCAGTGTTTGGCTGCTCCCGTGAACGCCTCGGTCTATGCGGTGTTGGGCCCGGCTACAAGCCGACTGAGCGGTATAAGCACTCCGAATGTTCAGAATGAAATGCTCGTTCCACGTCGACAACCCTCGGCCCCTAAGGTACACCCCACCCCATGGTGCCCCTGCATTTCCGTGCGGTTCAGGCTTGATCCTTGCCGCCCTTGTCCTTGCTTTCGACTCCTGTTCTCGTTAGGCTAAGGTCGCAATCATGTGGAAAACTGCGCATTGAGAGACACGTCGAAGACGGTTCGGATGAACACGACTGGAACTGATCCTGCTGACTTCGCGGCTTTGGTCCGCAGATCTCTGTCGGTGGTTCTGACCAGAGTCGCTACATTCACTGTGCCCTTCAAAGGTTCGATGCTAGAAGTCGCTTGAATTTCTGGGGCAAAGTGGCAGCAACCCTAAAGGCCTGAAAAGAAGCGGGGTACTTGGCACACCCAGGCGAACCCTGTGCTCTCACACATAGATCGAACCAGTGGGGTGTCACTCGAGGCCATTCGAGGCCTATCTGAATGCAGTTGTGAAAACGGGTGATGACAGGTTGCATCTTGCTGCCTCTGCACATGTTGCAGTTTGTGAACTCAGGACACGGCACACTCACCATGGCTGGCGACGCTCGCCCGCACTGCCGCCTGCTCAGAGAATCGAGTTTTGACAGTAGACATGAAGACCGTGCGCCGTTCGATTGGTCTGGGCATGGCATTTCACCTGTCAGCAGATCTGCAGTCGCAGAACGTCAACTGGGCGTCGAGTTGCGCAAGAGAGCGGGTAAACCCACTCGGTGGTCAGGCCATGCTTCCGACTGATGCATCCTTGACGCCAAGGAGACCGTGCTCCTTTGACCGTGGGGAGGGGGCGAGGCAAAAGTTGGCACTGCACGGGAGCACAGCTGGAAAGCTAGGCAAAGACCGAAGCATGAGCAGAGAGGAGAGAGCTGTCGCCTTCAGCCGCCAAGGAGGATGTCACAAACGTCATGCTGGCTAAGTCATCCCTTCAGGAGACCAGTGCGAAAGCTTGCATGAGCTGGCCTGAGCTCAGATGTCTTCAAAGGATCTTCGAGGTCTGCACGATTCCACATATGCCGCTTTGTGTTTTGTACAGTGAAAACGGCTAGCCGTGACAAATTGTTGCTGCATTTGTGCATCATGAAGGTCGAAATGTGCTGCCAGTTTGCCAATGTTAGCGAGATGGCAGGCAAGGCGAGGTTCAAACGATACATGCACCGAAGGCATAGCCATCTCAGGTGCGGATAATATGTCCTGCTACGCCTGACATAATTTGAACAAAAGCCGTTGCGTGTGGTCCTTGCTTTCAATGGCCAACTGCCTGCGTTATTGAGCACTTGTGTGTAATCTCCAATCGTCACACGAAAATGGAGAGCATGCTGGCAGGGGGATGGCCCGAAGGTTGTATGGCAAGAACATGGACGAAAAACAAGCCCAGGCTGCGATCTGTCTTTTCAGAGCGAATGCTGTGTTTCCATTTGTGAGTTTTGCTAGTTGGCTATTACTAGAAACGGTCACGAGGTTTTCGGCGGAGATTGCAACATGAATGCTAACATCCAGCTCCCGCTGTATGCATTCATGTACGCATGTGCGAAGAGGCACACATGTAGCGAGTTTAGTTTGGCCAGCCATGACGACGAGTGTTACGCTGGCGGCGCCCGCGAGCAGTAATCGTGGCAGACTCTCTGCCATAGGCGCGATGCACTCCAGTGCCAAGTTCAGGGATGCGATGATGTACGTTGCTCAAGTCGTCAGCTGTAACTGCAGTGCGCGTTCAGGGGTGGAGTAGTGATAAGTCGAATTAAGTCAAGTTAACTACAGATAGCAAGACCCGGTTGGATAGCATTTTGATATCTTTAACAGCAGAAGCTCGCGAACTCATCCATTCTGGAAGTTTCCCCATAATGCCAGCGGCGACAGCAACTAGCTTCACGAGGTGAGATGCGATACCGGTGGGTCAAAGTAGTAATGTCAACCTGTCGTGGTTCACAGCCTGTAGCTGTGTCAGTCGGTTCGCACGTGTTTTGTTGAACTTGCGCGCTTGCGTGTGTGTGTGTGTGTTTTTCAGTTGTTTCCCGCTGTTTCTTGCGGTTCAGTTCGGCGTCTGACATGCCGGCTTTGCGGCTCACGCTGTGATGCCGACTTCAGGCTAGGTTGATACACGTCAAGTGCTACAGGCTCGGTTTAGTCCGGTTTCATTTCTGGGTTCGGTGCGCATGGCAACTTGCAAGGCGTACTTCGGCAAGGTTGCGCAATCAGGTCCTGATCAATCACATTCGCTTTCTTGGGATGCTTGTGCAGGGACCTTGTCACAGAGGGAACTCCTGGAGCCCGTTCGGGCGACCACGGCCCGCACAAGTGGGGCGATTTTCCTAACAGACATCAGGGCTCTTGCGAGATGCTGCTGCTGTTTTGCTTATTTGTCAGGTAGCGGATGGCTTTGGACAGATTTGTGGTCCTGTTGCATCCGGGTAAACGAAGGCCCCGCGCCGTCTCGATTAGCGGGTTTGCCCGCCTCGGTTGTTTCCGGCGGGCCCATGTCCAGGAGCGGCATGGTGCCTGACTCCAGTTTCCTCTTTAGAGGTGTCCCGGAAATTCCCGGGAACTTCTCAAGGGAACATGCAGCAGCTCTGGCAGCCACCTCCATCCACCTGAGACGTCAGCATCCGTCCATGGAATGATGGGCACTGCGGCAACTGGCTGCTGCCGCAGCGGACGCAGAAGTTGCGCTCCATCTGGTTTGAAAACGTCGGTGCGATAACAACAGAGGTGTTGAACCGACTCCGCGGATGGAGATGACGATCGGAGACGTCTTGTGGCTTAGGCTACGGCAGTGACGGCAACTATGAAGAATTGAGGGAGACCGCCAAAGGAGATGCAATTTCAGATTCACAAGTCCACTCAAAAGCAAAGTAATTGCTTGGTCAGTGAGTTCGCAGATGTCGTAGTTTTGAATTTGAAGACTGTGCACAATGCTATACACCTATATATGTCTCCACGGCAGGTGTTGATGCCTTGACGTAGATGACACCATGCGCGGCGGCCATTGTCATTCGATGTGGCACAATCTTGCTCCGACGGTTCGTTTCCCCTTCACGGAGATTACGTTTTTCTGTTTCACAGCACCCGTTCCTAGGAGAAGCGACATGTGGGTTGTCGTTCGACTGGCTGATCTTTCTGTGGGCCTTGGCAGCCTTACCAGTCCAGGTAGTGAGCGCGACGATGCGAGTCGTGCCTCGCTGTCCGATGTATAGGTTTCGAAAGGTGCATAGATTAGATGCCTTTCAGTTTGTCTCTCTGTCTGTCTGCGTCACTCTTTCTGTCACAGGTGTCTTCTGCTTGTGGCTCGTGGCTGTGATTTCTGCGCATGCAAGCATGTGTGCATAGGTGGGCGCGTGCGTCCTTGCGTGCGTGCGTGTGTTAGTGCACTCTGCTGTGTCAATGAATGCATTGCTGCTTGCATCAAAGTGCATGTTTCTTGAAATTCGCGATCTTGGTAGTGTGTCGTTGAATCGTTGCACACGACTCTTTCTATCATCTCTGCATGCTGAGGTTTTCCTGGTTCTTCAAGAAGTAGCCTTTGCTTCTGTAAGTTCGTGTGAACGTGTTAAAGACAGGGTTACAGCAGCAGGTGCAGCCCTTGATGGGGCTGTGGATGCGCTGACCATGACCCCCGGTTCTCATCATGGCAGGCCGGCGGCAGGGCTCTCCTTCGGGTTGGTTGGTTGCGCAAAGCAGTGTGGAATCGTGTATGTTCCAGCATGTGATGAGTCGAGGGTCGGGTGTTTCCTTTGTCGCACATGCGAAAAGCATCTTTCCGAGCAGAGCAACTTCTATGGCGACTGGCCCAGAGTGTTCGTGGAAACCTGGTGACCGGCTGGCTGACTCAGCTTGTGCATTGCAGGCCTGCGACATTTCCAGACTTTGCTGTCCCAGGTGCATGGCCGTTAAGCCTTGAGATGTTCGGCACAACTTTGCTCTCTAACCTTGGATCAGCGTGCGGCATTTGTCCCTAAGAAAGAAGAAGCCTCCGGCTAACAAGGAATTCGACATTCCATGGGGAGCCTTAGATCTGATATTTCGAGAATCAGATGTATGTAGCTGGCGGGGTCCATCACCTCAACCCATTGATCTTTGCCGCAAGTCGGGCTGATTTGGTGCCCCCCAACCAGTCACGACAACCTCCAACCACACCCTGTATACTGCTACTACTATTACTTCTACTTCTAAATCTACTTCTACTTCTTCTTCTACTACTACTACGACTACAACTACGACTACTACTACTACTACTACTACTACTACTACTACTACCACTACCACTACCACTACCACTACCACTACCACTACCACTACCAGCCACCCCCCCTACCAACCACCTGGCGCCTTATAACCCATCATCATCATCATCATCAACGAACATGACAGTTGCAGAAGATGCAGGGGCTCAGGCCCCCTATCTGTGACAGCTGCAGAAGTTGCCGAGGCTCACTTGCCTGAACTGTCACAGATGAAGGGGCTCAGGCATCTGTGACATCTGCAGAAGTTGCCGAGGCTCACTTGCCATAACTGTCACAGCCGGTGAAGTTGCAGACGCTCAGGCCCCAAAACTGAAAGAGCGACTGGAGTTGCAAACTCGAGGGGGAAGAAATTGCCAAACGACAGGTGGTCGGATAGTACGAAAAGGATTAAATACCGTGCAAAGCGCAGGTGCTGCCAAGACGGTTTAAGCACTCCTTGTTGCTAAACCTGAAGCGCGACATCTTCTAAACATGAAAAGCAAAGGTGCCAGCTGCATGTGAGAGGGGCTCGCCAACACCCTTAAAGCCCAGACCTCGGCGTAGGAGGCTTTGCTTTTGAAGTGGTGTGTGGTGTTCGAGAGGCTGCCTGTAGGTCATCATGCCCATGCCATCCCCCCACCCCTCCCGGAAGCAACAACGGTGCTAAAGAACGGTGGTTAGCAATAGACTACGACATGACCACAGTACTTTACATACCGAATAAAAAACCAGCTTCCCCCCAACCAATGTCGAGTTTTCGCCGAAAGCCCTCGCAAAGCCCAATGTCGACTTTGCAAAGTCCAGAGGTACGTTTGGTGACTATATAAGATTGTCCGACATCAGGAAAGTACGGTAAATACCGAGCAAAACGGCTCTTCTGGAGAGGTTGTTCGGGGTGTCTGCCAAACAATGTCATCATCCCCCTCCCCCCACCGACCCCCACCCCCCCAAGAGCAAGTCCAGAATCGGAAGCTGGAGTTTGCCAAAACCGCCGCTGAATTTTGAAGCTTCATAAGATGTTCCTACATGCCGAAAGTGCTGTAAATACCGAGTAAAACGGATGTGTGTTACAAGAGTATGGTCGGAGGGGTGGTTGGTAGGGGGGGCGCCTACTACCACCATTACACCTACCACTGCCACTACCACTACCAACTCTATCCACTCTACCACGACGACAACGACGACGACAACAACAACAACAGTTACTCCTATGAAGTCTACTGCTATCACTACTGCTACTACGTACTACTGCTACTGCCGCTACTGCTGCTGCATAGGGGTTTGCACCGAGAAAGAGAGCCGCGCGCGTCTCAGCCCTGTACCCCGAGCTTTCGCGGACCCCCTCTGAAGTTCGTTGCATTGCTAACCGCACACCAGTCCCAGTACTTTGCAACTCGTGTTTGAGTCAAGCCTGGCAACTCGCAGTCAGACTTGTCCCGGCCAGCCCGATGCCAACTCTAATCTGCTGGCCTGCATGTGGCCATATCAATGTGGCAGACGGTGAAGGGAGCGCAAATTTTCTGACGGAGGCGGACAAGGCGCCACTGACCTGGCAGAGCTTCGGGCGAGAGCGGAGGCAGCTCGAGCGACTACAAGCGGAGGCTGGGCCGGCCGGGGGAGTCTTGTCACATCCCGATGATGTGAACCGGATACTGTATGCGTGCCCCAGTCAGATGTCCTGATGTATCCGAAAAAGTTCCGAAACTGCGCAAAGCGCATTTGCAATCAAGGTTTACT